TCCAAGGGCCTGATAAAGGGTATATCACTAGACGAAAAGCCAGCGGACGTTGTGAGAAGTATTTAACTACCATAACCCGAACTTCCTGCACGCCAAGAGCATGGGAATAAACTTTGCTAAAACTGTTGCTTGGGTGAGTTAGTTCATGCTTATTTAGAAAGCTTTATCAGTGCGAAGAAAGACCATGGAAAACGCGACCAACGTGATCATCCTGTTTGACGGCTACTACGTGCCCCGCGACTTCAACTACGGAGGAATGGTGCTAAGGTGCACTCTCTACCAAAAAAAAACATTTTGACATGTGCTTCTAGTGTGGTCGTCTGGGACATAAAGCCGACGTGTGCCCCAACTCTAAGTCAAGAAGTGGCGTGGGTGGCGATGCTGCAACCCACCCGATAATGATCGGTGCAAGCCCATGTGCCTGCTGTGCGGAAAGGATCACCTTACTGGAGACCGCAAGTGCAAAGCCAAGTACCAGGTACCATACATTTTCAAGCGACTACAGTGGACACGCAGAAGGCGCGAGGAGGCTGAGGCTACCTATAGCAGCAGCATATAAACGACGCAGTGGCACGCATATAAACGACCTGTTGTCATGCATATGAACGACGCAGTGGCAACAGGCAATCGTACTCGAGGGAGAGCCGCACCCGCTCCGGTACTCGTTCTTGGGCGCATTCCCGCAGCGTCTCACGACCCTGTTCAGCGAGGCAATACTGGCAGCAAGTCGATGACCCAAGCCACCTACGCCGCTGCAGTCAAGAGCGGAACAGTATTCGATCTTCATTACGTCAGGGGGGTGGACATCGCCTTCGGTCATGCGTCTCGCACACCGCAAACACGAATCGATGCTGCCAATATTAAAAACTTTGATGTACACCGACGCGAAAATTCTTCTGCCGGTAGTATCAGTGAACCAGAAACCTCAATAAGGAAACGACTAGATGAGTTAGTCTTTATCAAAGAACTGTGGCCGCAGAATCCTGAATTAAGAAACAAAATTGCCACGTTAAAGGGGGATGCGCTGACAGTTTCTTTACCTTCCTCTCTTCCTAAACCTATCGTGGCCAACGCAGCTGCTTATGCCGTCCTGAGCACGCAAGAAGCCATGGACGCGCAAGACACGTGTCCCGCACCTTCTAAACGTAGAGCGCTATACCCGGAGCAGGCTGAGGTCAAATCGCAGAAACGCGAGGAGTAACTCCGCGAGCGAGTCAAAAAACTCAACGACAAGGTACAGACGATGATAGAGAGTTTGAGAATCTGAGGCCCAAGACACTGGGTTCACAAGCTTCGTTGCGTAGGTTGCTCTTGCGATCGCAGGATCAAAAGAGTTAAGGCTGGTGCACAACGGCGACTAGCAACGGTCGCGTGATCATTCGTCACAGGCGATAAAAAAAGCGACTTACGTTTGCACAGGCAGAGACTGCATGCGAGCAATCGGAAGTCGCAAAACTGGAGAGTCACCTCCGGATCTAGTTATCAGCGAGATGCCTGGAGTAGTAGTAGTAGTAGTAAACAATCATTTAGAAAAAAAACAGAGGTTGCTAGGAAGACAAGCCTCTAGTGGGTCAGCCTCCCTGCAGTACTAGGTGGAGTCCCTAGTCAGGGACCCAATTGGTCGTGGCCACTGTCCTGGCACACTGGACCATGGCTCGTTGGGCCCCAAGGTCCTGGCATACAAGCAGGGCCGCCTCCCAATGCTCTATTGCTGGATTTGGATTCGGGGGTAAAAAGCATTCAGCTGGCATGCCCGTACCATGTGGTAGGTGTCAGCCACCTCCACAGCGTACTGGCAGAGGCCGGAAAAGGAAGAGTCAAATTGTTTAGGCACTGCCGGGCACAATAAAGTATTTTTCAAAAACATCTGAAGTTCCACTTCCTTCCACCTTTTGCTACAATCACCTCCCCATGCCACCAATTTTAGTAGACATTTCTGGTATCGCTTCCCTTATCAACAAATTAAGCAACCATTCTTCCCCTTGTTATGATTCGATTAATAGTAAATCTTTAAGAAATACTGTAGAAATTAGTTCCATCATATTAGCCAAGATATTCCAACAATCACTCGACACTTCTACTCTCCCATCTGAAAGGAAAATTGGGAAATTAGTCCCTATTCATAAATCTGGTAGTAAAAGTTCTTCTGCTAATTATCGTCCCATTTTCCTTACCAGTACGTGCTGTAAGCTATAAGAGCACAACATATTCACAAACCTTGTAAATTTTCTTGAAAGTAATTCCTTCTTCACGTCATTTCAGCACGGCTTTCGTAAATCATACTCCTGTGATACAAAACTGGTATCATTTACTAACAGATTACACTGCATTTTGGACAACTCATCACAAGCTGATTGCATCTTTTTGAATTTTTCCAAAGCATTTGATAAAGTATGTCATAAACTTTTACTTCACAAACTAAGCCAACTGAAACTTGATCATTACGTGTTTAAATGGATTGAATGTTTTCTCACAAATCGCTCACAATTTGTTTACGCTAACGGGTATAATTCTCGTTCGACTGAAGCACACTCCGGCGTTCCTCAGGGATCGGTAATTGGGCCTCTCTTATTTCTAATTTACATTATTGACTTCCCCTGCCACATTAAATCCAGAATTCATTTATTTGCTGATGATTGCGTTATTTTTCGTGAGGTAAATAACATAATTGATTCGTGTACTCTTCAATCAGACCTTAACACTGTTGATAACTGGTGCCGTACATGGTTAATGGAATTGAACATAAACAAATGTAAAGTCATGCGCGTGGTCCGCAGTGTTTGCAGTCAATTTACTTACTACTTAAACGACATACCTCTTGAATCTACTAACTCGTACAAGTACTTAGGCGTCCACATAACATCCAATCTCTCTTGGGCAATGCACGTCGAACAAATAATCAACAAAACTAACCGTACGCTTGGGTACCTACGCCGTACCTTTTCCAAAGCTCCATCTTCATTGAAATTAGCCCTGTACAAAACATTAATACGACCTAAACTAGAATATGCCTCTTCGATTTGGGATCCCAGCCACATTAATTTAATTACAACGCTTGAGCTAGTTCAGAATAATTCCACACGCTTCATATTATCGAACTACAATCGCACTGCCAGTATATCTGCTATGAAAAATAATCTGTCCCTGCCTACTCTGTCACTTCGAAGAAAAGTTTCCCGCCTATCAACTTTTCATAAATTGTATCACCACCCCATCTTGCGCGACGAACTTATTTTGCAACCCCAGTATTTTTTCAACCGTGTCGATCACCATCACAAGGTTGGAATTATCACCTATCGTACTAACACAGCTGCGCAGTCGTTCCTGCCTCGTTCTTCTCGCAAGTGGAACCACCTTCCCCCTGAAATTGTTGCTATTAATGACAACCATCTTTTTCGTGATACCGTAGCTAAGATTGTATACGCAGGACCTATTTATAGTATTTTTTGGTTGTTCGCTGACTTTTGCTTATATTCGTACTAACGCTGTATTTTTCCCTCCCCACCATGTACCATGTGGTATTCAATGTAATCCACTCCCCTCTGTAATGCCATTTGGCCCTGAGGGTATTATGAATAAATAAATAAATAAATAAATAAATAAATAAATAAATAAATTGGTGAATAGCAGAAGAATTCTCTCGTCCGCCTTCCAAAGTCCTTTGCAGGGTGGAGAAAAACGGTGGTAGGAGTCCCGGTAATAGTTAATTATGTCTCTATAAGTTAGGAGGCGAGCGTTTTCTTCTCAAACACAGGGGTCATCGGGGGTATGAGTGCGCGAGCGCGGGGGGCAGCATGCACCGCCTCATTGCCTGCGAGGCCCTCATGGCAAGGAGTCAAGATTATTGAACGCGGAAATGAGTAGTCTACATGCGGACAAGACTTAAGAATTTTTGCAGCTAGCGGTGTGATCCATCCCAGTTGAAAATTTCGGCAAGCTCCTTTGGAGACTGATAATATAATTTGAGAACTGTCGTGTGATATAGCCGCAGCTATGGCCACCTCCTCAGCATGGGTAGCATTGGTTGCGCGGAAGGACACACCATCCGCCTGCATGTCTTGGTGGACCACGGCGTTCGTATATCAAGCCCCGCCATAAGGGCCGGCGATGTCCGTGTAAAATACGTTTTTTAGAGCCGATTTGGCGCCAGAGAGCAAGAGCCCGCGCGTCTCGACGGCCAGCGTGCGACTCACGTGACATATTGGTGGGGAGGGGTGGAACATGAACCGCGTATTTCAAATGTTCGGGCACTTGCACCCGCTCTTCTGTGTATATTTCATGCCGAATGTGTAGGTGATTTATGAGTCGTATGCCTGACGGGATCTGCACCAGACACGTGTATTTATTTGTTAGGTGAGTCTCCCGGAGCTTGCGATAGGTTTTTACTAGTCCCAACGCAAGAATTTTTGCATTGGAAGTAGTGATCGGGAGATCTAGGGTTTTCTTGACAATTCTGCGAAGGGTAACCTCCAAGGAATCTTCATCGTGCTTCAGTAAGTGCAGGTACGGAGTCCCATACAAGATGCGACTAGTGACAAAAGCATGTGCGAGATCAAGCGCATCCTCGCTTTTGAGACCTTTCCACTTGTTGGAGACTCGGCAAACCATGCGGCCCACCTTTTCTGCAAGCTTACGCAGCTTGTGAAATATTGCCTCGACCCTGCGGTGTTTGTGAATGTGGAGTTCAAGGACACGGATCTAAGGACACGTATCTCATGTGCCTCAATAATAGGTCCACTATGCAGAGAAAGATTGATGAACGAAGTGCACTTCACCGACGGAGAAGGTGCACAAATTCGTACTTCTGTGGGGAACACTGGAGGCTGCAGTACGCCGCATATTCGTCCACTATATGGGCTGTTTTTTGGAGGCTGTCCTCCATGCTGCCCAGGCATCCCAGTGTGGCCCACAGAGTGATGTCGTCGGCATCAAGCGCATTCTTTACCCCGTCAACAGCAGCCAAGTGGACCGGGAGCTGTGTAGGTAGCTAAGTTGAACAGCTAAGTTGCCTTAGCTAAGTTGAACAGCAGAGGTAACAACACAGCGACCTGTGGTGTACCTCGCATGCCCAGGGGATAGGGGCCGTATTCCTGATCTTGGATGAGAATATACGCCGCTCTGTCAGTAAGAAAGTTTAGGATGTAGTTGAAGGTGCGCTCGCCGCAGTTGGTGGCACTTAGGTGAGCTAAAATGACTTCGTGCTTGACGTGGTCATACACTCGTTTAAGGTCAAGCGCTAAAATGATCTTGTCATTGTGAGAGTGTTCTACAGAATTAGGTACTTCGTGGTGTAGTTGTAGGAGTATGTCGTGTGGAGATTTCTTGGGCCTGAAGCCACACATAGAATCAGCGAAAATGTGGCTCTCTTCCAAGAAGAGAGAGGCACAATCCGTGACCATAGTTTCCATTAGCTTCCCCGCACAAGAAGTGATAGAAGTGGGTCTGAGATTCTCAATGTTGATCGGTTTGTTTTGGCTTTGGAATAAAGGTTACTTGAGGCTTTTTTCAATCTAGTGGTAGGGGTGTTTTTCCGAACCAGATCGCATTAATATTGTCAAGAAGCGACTGGTGCGCTGCATCGGGTAGATTTGCCAGCATTTTAACGGTAATTTTGTCTCGCCCGGAAGCCGTACCTCGCCTCATTTTGGCAAGAGCGGCGCGAAGGTCGTGTACCTGGAAAGGACATCCAGGGCCGAGTTCTCTCTACCTGCATAGCGATACGCGGGGCCTCGCGTGTCCTGTTGAGTGCAAAGATATCTGTCCCGTAGTGATAGAGCTAGTTGTGTTGTCGATTCATGGAAATTTTGAAAGGCTCGGTGCAGTTGTTTTTGCGTTTCACCTCGCGTTTGAGTGGGATCAATCAGACTGCGGAAGAGTTTCCATGTATTGCGACTGGACATTTGCCTGCTGGCAGTGTTACAGCGATCTACCCAATTTGATACGGCAAGCAAGGCAGTGTACTCGACCGCTTTTTGGGTGAGATCCAGCATCGGCATGCGGAGTTTACGGTTGTGTTTTTGTCAGCGCCATCTCTTTGTCAGGCTGCGACGGGCCTCCCGAAGATGAAGGAGGCGGTTATCTACATCCGGATGACTATCCATGAGTTGTGTTTTGGTCTTGTGTTTTCTTAGTGTTTCGAACAGAGTGTGAGCCCACTTGGAATAACCGATCTTCATAACGGGAGAATCAGGTAAGGACTACCGGAAGGCTTCCCAGTTTGGTAGGTGAGCCTGTGCGATGAATCGTTGTAGGGGTCGTGTAGAAAATGTAGTGTTGAGAATGCAGTGGTCCCTACAGAGGGTTTCCTTCGTATTTATGCAGTCTGCATGTCTGATGTTTTCGTGAATGTTAGGTCGGGGCAGGTGTCCCGGCTGACAGAGTTACCTACACGAGTTGGTTGTGCTGGGTTTGTTTGAAGAGTCATGCTCAGCGTGGAAGTTAGCTCCCTAAGTTTCCTTCCACGCGCCCCTTCCTTGTGATAGCCCCAAAGCCGTCTAGAGGCGTTGAAGTCACCCACTATTAAAAGGGGGTCATGCCCGACGAGCTTTAGTGCCGTGCTGAAGATGTCAGCGAATGTGATGTTTTTTAGTTTAGGTTTGCAATAAATATTGACGATGCGCACTGGGGGGTCAGTTCTACGCAGGGGAAGAACCGTGACCATAGTGTACGAGTACTGTATAGAAATTTCAAGGTCGACCTCTTCCGTAGTTAAGCTTTTATGAACAAGAAGGCAGGTGAATCAGTTCCGTTGAAAAATAATATAACCTGAGAGGCGCGCGGCATTGCCGGGCTCTTGAAGGGAAATGACAGCGCACAGGCGCTCATGTGTTTCAAGATATAGGCGGAAATGGGCCTGTTTGGCCCTATCTTTGAAGCCTTTACAGTTCCATTGAATGAAAGAGCGTAATCGAGGTTTTGGGTGTGGCGATGTGGAGCAGTTAAGACGAGTCGCCATATAGAGAATTTGGGGTGGCTGAGAGGGACTCTACCCCTACTTCGGCGCCCTGTGCAAGTGGGAGCTCGGAGTCCTTGGAGGTTTCAGCGAGGCTGATGGCGTGTGAAAACTTAAAGGGACGATTAACGTCCTTCAGAGGATTAGCCCTTCGGCTTCGAGGGTTTATGCCAAGGAGTCAAGTTTTATTGTTACTCGTCACCTGTTGGGTAACAGTGTTGGAAAATGTTTCCAGGCTTTTGCTTATGGCGGTGAATTGTGTAATTAAAGTGGTCATAGTACTTTCAGTAGCCTGAAATTGCTATTCAGTGTTAAAAGGCTCCGAGACAGAAGGAATGGTGCACATGGACATCGGTTCTGAAGCGGGAATGGTAATATTGGTGGGAAGTGAAGTGGGAGGGACTGGTGGACTACCGGTCACGAAGGCGGCAATTTTGGCTTGAAGCTGCGCGTTCTGTACCAGCAGCGCATCAAGCTCTTGTTTGAGCTCGAGGAATTCAGGGGAGGAGGCACGGAAAGAAGAGCAAAAAGAGGACAAAGAGGAAGAGGCAGCCCTCGCCTCGTTGCCTACTTGAGAAGCAGTTTTCTTGTTCGGCCGCTTGTGGGTGCCGGGATCAGTCAGAGTTGGAACGTCCCCAGATTTCTGCTCAGGGTACCCAGGTCAGATGTCTTGAATGACGTTACATGTGACGGTGTTTCAAGTGGAGGTGGTGCTTGTTGACTGGTCCCTCCAGTAGCCGAGTTCTTCATGGCTTGGTTGGTAGCTGCCGGTTGACGTCCTTCTGGCATGACGCCAGATCTATTGGGCGTTGGCCGCTGCTTCCACGAGCCGTGACTTCCATGATGACCGCCCGGCTGCGGCAGGCTGCGAAACCTTGCTTTGCAGGCCTGGGATCCGGTGAGGTGTCCCTCACCGCACAACAGGCAAGATCACTTGCACTCGTGTGGTGCCATCTCCTCCTCAGAAGCTTCCACAACTTGACCACAATGGCCACCGCGTTGGTCATTCAGGTGTGGACACAGTTCTACCCAGTGGCCCACCGTACCACAGCGGTAGCAGGCTGGAATGGTGCGTTTATATTCGCGTACTCGTCTCACAACGTTGTTGTAGCACACTAAACGTGGCACGCGGTGGTCCTCGAAAGTTATAAAGGCCACCGAAATCTTACCAAACTTTCTAATGAAAGCTATGCTTCCACCACGCCAATGGATCTTTGCTTTCAAGGAGGTGGAGGTCTCCTGCTCGTGCACCATGATGAAGCCACGGCACATATTCCCACTGATCTTGGTGTGGCCGATCATTGGTAGGGCACCTTGTGATGTTTCGAGTGAGAATTCTCGAGAGAGAAGGTTCGCAGAGTTGATGTTTTCTGTTGAGACATAAATGATATTTTGCTCCCACATGGGCCACAAACTGATAGAGTCACTTGAGGTAGCAGTCACGTATGAGGTGAGCTTCGTGGCTACTTCACCTGGTTGAAAAGCAGTTTTGAGATCCACCGTGACACGAGGCTTCAGCACGATGGTGAAGTCTTGTGCAGCAATGCGGGGCATAGCAGTAAGCCGCCACAATACACGGGATGTCTTCTTCACGGATGGTATGTTCGTGGACGCGGCCTTCTTGGTAGCCGATGCCTTGGTAGCTTTAGATTGCTGGCGAAGCTTGCGTAGGGCCACCACGCTGAACAGTACCTCATCCACGATAGCCATTGGTGGAACGGAGTTTTTTGGCACTGGGGTAGAAATTTATTTCCACGCCAACGTCGTGGGATCATATCCACGGAGAGTGGTGGCAGCCACCTGTGGCTGCGGCCGTGGAGAAGTTCCGACGCCGTCAGTGTTCGGTGCAACGCTCGGTCAGGCGAGCGTAGCTCCCACGAGGTCAGGTCAACAAGTGGACATTAGATGCCCCGAAATTGGCCCACCTGGATGAGAGAGGTGTCTTATAGTGCAGAATATTGTCACGAAGAAGATAAGATCAATCTTGATGAAGTGTGAAGCAGGGTTCCACCGGTCCTCACGAATAGAGCGGGAGCCGATGCGACGCGCATACGCTCTCGTCGCGCACTCTTAGCGTTTTCGGAGACTGGCTCCGATCAGCTGATTGCCGCCAGCTGAGTGAGCGGAATAAACTGAGCGCGCAGCATTTATTGGTTTCGTCCATTGTCGCACAGTGTTTTTACGAGCATCAAGTAGTTCAATTCAAGCGTAGAACAAGATATTGTCACTGTGGTGGTGCACTGTTTCATGGTGTTAGCGCTGGCAGCACAGATGCCTCCAAAGACAGAAAGCCTGTGGTGAGTGTGACCGTCCATTCGATTGCGAGAGTTGGCAAGCCATGCAAGCCACCTACCTCCCGAGCTATGCTGAGACGACGAGGAGTATTTTCGAGAGCCGTACGTATTAAGAAACGCTCTTCAATTCATCTTGACTTGCCACCGCCTCCAATGCAGCAGAAACGCGTCTCAAACGTGGTGTCTTAAAGGGCCTTTCTTCAGGTTTGACAATTTTGAGCTGACAAGCGCAATGTCCAGACGAGGCGTTCATGTCTACCAAACTTTGCAACGCTACGCACCGCGTAAATGGGTCAAATTTCAAGATGAAAGCTGCTTACCCTCCCCTCTGCCACCGCACGCGTAGAGAATGAGAGCATGACGTAGGCGTAGAAATGGGCCCTACGTACACGGCTATGCAGTGACGTTGGTCCTCTACATAGACGAGTCTGCTCTGACATTAGCAAAAGTATACCACGCGGCATGGCAAAAATTATTTAACTCAACCTGCGTAGTTTATGTATTTGTTGCTTTAAAAAATTGATAAAACTTGGAATAAATAATGAGACGTAATAAAAAATGTGCGCGTTTTACTATCATAATTTACCATGAAATGCTACGAGATGCGAGGCTAATGTGCCAGCGTTTCGCATGCATCCGTGTCCCCGTGGTCAGCGCATTAAGCAGATGACCACCGTGGAACGCTCCTACGCGTTCGCACACCTATTGTGCTCATCTACACTACCGTGTCTAAGCCAGCGTTTCAAAACCATCTCACAGAAACAGGCAGAAGACCACAAAATAACTCTGGTCAACAAGGCAACGCTGCTCATGTGATTGGGGGCCTGACTTGGTTGGGCACGTCATGCGCACGTAACCTCATGGTTGGATATGGAGAGGGTGGGGAAGATATTTGGCTTGCGAAGGCTACGCGGAAGAGCGGCAAAGATTTCGAGCTTACCTCCTCTCATCCTCGTTTCGCGCGGCTTCAAAAAACCTGTTTTCTCTACTCGTGAAAAAGCCGCCAGGGGGCTAAGGTGTGTAGTGGCACCTCACATGGGCTCCTGCTTTTATTGCTATTTTCTGTGCAACCTTGACTGGACACTTCTAGCCTTTGATGGCCTGGAATTCCTCACGTTGCAGGGCATCGTTAGACACCAGACTCATCGCAGTG